AACTAACTACCATACATATCACATATATGCATAAATTAAAGCATGTGGGTTGACCATGGGACTTTTCGAAAATACATCCTAAAGGTAAACTATTTACCCTAATCCTATATCTTTGATTGGATCGTCATCCGGATGCTCTTCGGGTTCCCATCAAGCCGATCAATTACAAATTGGATCTTGCACACAACCCGATTAAAATAAATAAATAAATTTAATTATTACAAGCCATTTAATAAAAGAATATTACAAACACTTTTGAATATTTTGAAAACTAAATGGCCCCAGATCAACCCTCTAATCTATATTCATCCATCACATAAATAAATATTAAACATTCATACCAAATATACTAAACAATTATTTAAAGGTACGAATATAAATAATTTAATATACATATATATAATATATATATATATATATAATCTCATATATTATAGATATTATATATATGCATGTGGTAACTTATCATAACTTTGAGACATGCAACAATTACACTTTTCAAGGGAATCATACACAAACACTTTGTCAATTCCACCCAAAGATATATATAAAATTTATTATTTAATTATTACATCATTTCAATACTTTTCAGAAAAGTCATGCATGACATGATAAATGAGTTTTATTACTTCAAGAATAATCATTCTATAACACAAGTTACTTTGAAGAAATAATATTTTTTATGACACATTTATCTTCTCAAAGACAATCATATCATCTTGCATCATCAATTTTGAAACTATTCAAAAAACCAAATTATTACATTTCAAAATATAATAATTTATCCATGCAATGATGCATTATATGATATTTAATCAAATTAAATATCATACATTAAAATTACCATATCATTTATACATAATATCACAATTCATCACATGAATTAATAATCATAACTTTATGCCAACATCATTTTCCACCACTAAACACTTGCAACTTTTGCATCCTCTTCATACAAAATATACTTTAATCAAATTAAGGGATAACACTTAGCATGTCAAAGCTAAACAATTTAATCAAAGTCATGAAATGAACATGCATATTTCTTTAAATAAATCCATGCAACATTTCCCAAAACATTATTCACCAATGCATGAATGAGATGACAAATCTATGGCAAAAATAGTCATGGCCGACATGACAAAGAAGAAAACCATACTACACATGCATGTAGTTCTCAATACACTCATGCAATAACCATCACAAGCATGCTTTAAATCACATTTTACACATCCAATCATATTAGAGCAAGATGAAAAACATTTTTCATAAAGTAAGGAGATGGCTGAATCACATACATGCATTAAACATGCTTATTCCACTAACACTCATTCAATACAAAGGCATGCTCATTATCAATATTACCATCATTCAAAACACATGAGAATACATAAAATAAACATTTACCTTTGATCAAGGTGTGGTCGAGACATGCATGTAAACAGTTGGGATGGAAAACTCATTTTTGAACCAAAGCACTAACATGCAAACTCAACCATGTATGATGAACATATGAACACATGGAATAACTTGACTTTTGCTCAAAACCAACATCATGGAGCTTTTAAGCTCTGATACCATTTGAAAGAAAACAATGAAGAGGTGGCGAAAAATGTAGATAGAAACATGAAAGGGTTGGATTAATAGGATTCAAAATTTTTTCAAACAAGCTTGAAAACATATACCTTCTCCTTGCTTAAGGTTGATGAAGCCAAGATTCAAAAGGATGAATCCTCCACACTAACACCACCTTGAGAGAGTGAGAGAGTGGCCGAACCCTAAGTTCATCTTCTTCATCATCTCTCAAATCCACCAAAGCCACTAATCCAAGCTTTATTCTCAAATTTTCTTAGGATTTCAATTGATTTTCAAAGGAGATCACCATCCACACTTAAAGAACTTCAATTTCAGGGTTTAAGGTGAGTTTCAAAACCCTAGTTGTTCTATCTTTTAGTTAAAGAGAAATTCATAAGTGGTTATGTGTATAAGGTAAGAGAGTGAACCTTTGAGCTAAGGAGGTATCTTTGTGTTTTGAATACTAAGGTAAGGAAAAAAATCTCCCTTATGACTACAATTGATAACACCTAGGGTTTTGAAACTTACATTTATTTATGTTAATATCAGTGTGACTATGTTTTGGTTATGGATTGTTTAAATGGGTGTGTTGATTGGTGTATGTGTGCATATGGAGGATGATTATGCCAATTAAGAGATTTGTAGTTGGACGATGTTTTGGCACTTTTTGGTTCTGTAAAAAGGAGGTTTTTATGGCTTTTATACTAAGAATGAATGGCAAATGATGTGAATGTGCAAATGAAGGTGACATGGTTAAAATGAATAGAATAAGGATTTGGCTTTTAAGACTTTACTGTACATGCTTCACTGAATCAGTCATAATTGAAGTTATAGAAGTCGATTGAGTTGATTCTTGAAGTGTTAAAATTGGAGAAATAGACCTAAAACTTTATGTTTTAGCCAAAAATCAATCGAATTGGAAGATAAGGGAAGAATTGCTTGAAAAGTGACAAACTATATGGCATCCACCTTCTTATGGAAACTCCCATTTGTTTTTAATTCTAATAAACCCCTGAATAATCTTACTACTGAAATTCCTTGCCTTGTTGAGAAATTGAATGAATTAGTTAAGAAGTTTAGTAAGAATATAGTAGATTAGCATGGGAGATGTGTCCATATGTTTGCATTCATAATGGTAATGCATATAGCTTATTTAGTTGTCTTATGAAAAATTATTGAAATGTTAAAGAATGAATTCCATGAGTCTCTTGAGGTATAAACCAAGATCAGAGGAATGAAATTCTTATGGAAACTATGAGTCCTTTGAGGTGACGACCAAGAACAAGGTAATGGTTCAAATGAATCTGATCAGATAACAAAGACTAATGAAACCATCAAGTATAAAAACAAAAGAAATAAGCATGCCATGTACATGAACATTTCATAAGTCATATATGTTTTATGTTATATTATGTATGGTTATGTTATGACTTATGTTTATGAGAAAAGTCCAAAGTGTATGATATGTTTTATGAACTTGTTATGTCAAAGAATGAAGGTCATGTTTTGTAGGTAGGTAAGGTCCTAAGTAATATACTTGTATAATGAACCTTAATAGTTTATAAATGGCTATGTTCCTTACTGAGCGATTAGCGCTTACCCCACGAAATGTTTTAAAATGTTTTGCAGGTAAGGATTAAGGCAGGAAGCTGGGAGAGGATTCCGAGGGACGCTATGAGCATGAAGGGATGTTTTAATGATGAATGTTGAATGGTTTTGCTAGTATTTAGTGTAGGAATTATGTTCATATTTCATAATGCAATAAATATGTCCATGTTCTATAACGGAGTAAATATGTTGTGTTAATAAAGGAAATCAAATTGCTAGTAAATTTTGTAAATGTGTGTATGTTCTAGTAAGTATTACTACGGATTTCATAATTTACTCCAAGAAAGGAAACTATATTTTTTGACTCATACAATGAACTTAATTAAGAAAAAAAAAAAATATATATATATGTTTTTAAACTACAAGTTTATTCTTTAAATAGGATTTTAAAATAGACTTCTTTTCTAGGCGTACGTTTTCTAGGTTCTTAATGGCCAAGGGATACTTAGGAAATACCCGGCTAGGGAGGGGTTTTACACCAAGTATTTATTAATTTTCCCTTTGAATAATCAATATTATTTAAGGGCTCGTGTAAACTAAACTAGTTTACATTAACAACCCATAATTTTACCCTTTTGCCCTTTAACTACTAAAAGCTTATTTTAGTTCATCTCATTTATCTTAACGCTTTAAGATATAATAATTAAATACAATTAATTATTGCTTAAAATGTCACAAATATTTTTCTATGTAACTATTACCATAGAAATCTTATCATTACCCTCGAAAGGTGCTAGCCCTCTTCGGAAATGATCTCTTCGGATAATCATTTCTCTTTCTTATCCTTCTCTCACTTCTCAAGGCTATTGGTGTGACCATGTAGGTTCACCGTAGATTAGTCGTGAGCTAGTTCTGGATGAATCCGAAAACATTTCTAGAGGCCCAACGACTATGGTAAACATCTAGCAATGTGCCATAGTCCTTAAACCACGATAAAGAAATACTTCATCAAACCCATTTCAGATCATATGTACCATGCAGGTAAAGTCCCTCTATTGATATATCCTGATCGAGTACGGATTCATGGAATGTCAAAATCCTAAACTTGATCTTCTACTGAATCGTCGATCAATATATCCATAACTCATCATCACGAACTTGCTTTCGTATGACTAATAATAGACTCTGGCTAGAGATTCTGATTTCTGATATTTATTGACGTTCGTCCAGGAACTTGAATTCAGATGGAGTCAGCGGTACTCCTGATCCTATATTTCCGAGTCAAAGGATCCCTTCTTGACCATCGTTCCTTTCCGCATATGAACAACGCATGACCAAATAGGCTTTATCATATGAAACATGACCAGTCTCGTACTTATACACCGTATGAACCATACACATCCGTATCAGATCCGACCATAATGTCTCAGGTCAAAGGACTACATCGTGCACTGATATAACCAAACGATAAATCATTGACTACATGCTTTTCCAAGTGATTTGTTGTTATTCGGTCACGTTCGAAAAACAGTTCACCAATCGCTAATCCATACTAATGCCCCAGTGACATGACTATCATCGTCATCCGTACTTATATCAACTCATGATATCTTTCAGAAGCATCCAGTATGCCTACTATGCAATATAGTTGCCCAAATTATATTGCTTCTGTAGGGAACCTTTTTTGATAATTCATTTACCGATTAAATGAATTATTTGGAAAATTCATATACATACTTTATTTTAAATGCATGACTGAATAAATGAAGCAATTTATATATATGAATTGAAGAACTCTTTCTTCTATTATTTATGATATATTTATACAAGACAAAATGCTCTAAAATTGACAACACGAATGGTTTCTAGGGCATACACTAATATACACTAACATCGATGTTGAGGTGGTACTCTGGAATCTTGAATTGGTTTGATCTGGGTGATCTATTTTCAATTCTGGTCGACTGGCGATCATATGGTTTTTTTTTTCTACTCAAATTGAAGGGAAGGGGTTGATAACGAGGCTCAAATGTTCTGGATTCTGGCTTTCTTTCATTCCGCCTTTGGTGACGATCATCATATCTGGCATGCCTTATCCGGTTTGCCTCATCTTCTTCCAATTTGATTTGGATCACTGCCCTGGCTAGGGTGTCTTCCATTGTAGTCCAGTCAAGCTTTGTTAGGTCTTTGTATAGTTCTCCCTCTGAGAGGAGACCTTTTCTGAAAGCATTTACAGCTATCTCTGGATTACAAGATGGGATGAAGATTTTTTCTTTATTGAATATGCTAACGTACTTTCTCAGTAGCTCCCCCTTTTTCTGGTAGACTTTGTATAGGTCAGCTGATAGCTTCTCGAGTTTCTTGCTGCTGGCGAATTGTTCGATGAAGGTGCTGGTGAGTTGGGTGAATGAGCTTATTGAGTTGTTTGGAAGGTTAGTGTACCATTGGAGGGCTAGTCCGGAGAGACTGGAGCCGAAACTCTTACACATGCAGGCTTCCCTCAATGTTCGGGGTATCAAGGCGGCGAACATCTGCTGTTTGTATGAGGCTATGTGGTCATCCAGGTCGGTTGTGCCATTGTAAGGCTTCATGCGAGGGATGGTGAATTTGTGTGGCATCTCGGCTAGCGCAATTTCATCCACAAAGGATGAATCGGCATAGCTGTGAGGTTGGCTCTTTTTGGTTGGGATTGACACTCCAAGTATACGTCTCATCATTGCCTCTATGTTGGCCAATCTTTTGGCTAATATTTGCTCCATGGGCAAGGCGAAGGCCACCAGGTTGGCCTAGTTGGTTTGGTTTGTCATATGACTCGCACTTGGTATGTTTCGTTGGGTCAAATCACGTAAGGTAGTTTGGCAAACCATTCTATCGTGTGCTGCTTGGTAATTCAGATCTCCATTCATTCCCTCGAGTTGGGTAGACTGTGACTGATCGGGTGTTTCGGCCTACATGGATGGTGAGAGGGGTTATTTGGAAGTCGCTCGATTCGTAGGGATGGATGGACTTGAGCAGGGTGGATTGAAGGTGAGGGAGCCCGCTCGACCCGCGAGGATGAGTCGAGTCGAGTGGGGTTTGGGTAGGAATGGTTGATTGGAGATGAGATGGGATGGCAAGGATGGGTGGCTCTTGTTGTGATAGGCTTTCTATTACTTGGATGTCTTGATCTCGTGCCTGAAGTGGGTCGACTGAAAGTGGCTCTATTGGCAGTCCTCGCTCAATTGGATTTTGGGCTAAATCATCCACTAGCGATGAATAGAGTTGTCGCGATCTTGTATCCGAGATGGTTAGTCCGTGGTCTAGAGTCTGGAGAGGCTACATGGACGAAACTGATACGCGGAAACGATTGGGTTGTACCTGACAAGGCTGAAGCTCAAGGTCATAGAATTGACTTACCTTTTCTTTCAAAGACTAGTTTTCGGCCCGGATGGAGGCATTTTTGGTCTGGATGGCAGCTTTCTCAGCTTCTAGTGTTGCCACATTGTCTGAATGCTGTTGCATAAGGGCGGTCAAAGCTTCAAGTCTGGCCTCGAGACCAGGATTGGTGTTATCTAAATTTTCAGCCATAAAGAGTTTCCTTGCAAAGCGGGTTTTAAACGACGAATGATTGCCAGAGACTCCACGGTGGGCGCCAAACTATAGATGCAAAAAATCTACCTTTATTGAAATAGGGTCTAATCCTGTGAGGTTGAGGCCACCAACAATCCATTGCACCTGCACACGCAAGGAAACAAGTGTGAAGCGAATGGAAAACACTAGGGTGGTGTTTGGCATAGGCACTCCGATGCTCAAGTTAGCAAGGTTGAATGAGTATAGTTTAGTGAGGGTTAGGGAAAAAGAAGATTACCAGGAGTGAGAACTAATGGGTTCAAAGGTGTAATGTCTGTGTCCTTTGTGAGAGGGTTGACCTCTGTTTAAATAGCAATTGTAGGATCTTCGAGTCCTAGTAGGATTGTGGGTCCTTGGAGTTGAGGTTTTGTGAAAAAGGAGAACCTTTGACTCCCTTACCTTAGTGGGAAAAGGAGTCCCGGCGGGTCTAAGGCGCGGATCTTAGGTGAGCTAGGATAGTAATGGACCTCTTCGATAGAGTTCGGATAGTCTTGGAGTAAGTAGGCAACCTTGGGCTCCAAGTAGATCCTAAGTCTAGTAGGTGATCTAGGATCAAAGGGCCTGGGCCCATACAAGCTGGTGATGAGGCCTAAGCGAATCAGGCCTTCGTTGATTGGGCCTGAGTAGTGAGCAACATGGTAGGTGTACCGAGCGGACCTAATATGCAGACTCTGGTGCGGGCCCAATTGGAATTGGGCCATCGCTCCGAGCTTTGTTGAAGGTGTCTTCGTTTTTGGGCCTACTTGGGCCGAGCTTTGTAGTTTATTTCCTTATTTTTGCAGTGCTTCAGTAGAACAATAATGGAGAAAAGATTTGATAAGGTTTACTTCGAGGGAAACTACCTCCTTAATAAGGTTTACTTCGAAGGAAACTACCTCCTTAATAAGCCAAAGCTTTATTGAATTTCAAAAACATGAAAATCCTAATAAAATCTAGGGCACTTATAGTTTTATACACAATTCTCCTTTTCCATGTTGAAATAGGAGTGAGGTAAATTACCTAGTTGACCCTAATTCAATTAAAAACAGCTTAAGTAAAACTGGAAAATAACATGCACAGCAAGTCCTTATTACTAATGGGAACATCCAAAAAAAAATCCTAATACTCCTAACATCCCTCCGCCCTTAAAATTTTCCCTTGTCCTTAAGGAAAACATTCGAGACCCATCTGAAGTCTGCATTGGTACTACTTCTCATTGCAGTTATAACATAATCCCTTGGCTCGCCATTTCGCTAGCTCAACCGGGGTTAGCCTTTTCACCGGCAGGTTGCCTTCACTAACTGTACTTGTAATAAGGTCTTTTGAATCTTGTGTGACCGCTCTTCTGGCTGCCAGGCTATGTGCTTCATAAAGTCGGGCAAGACCTATAGCGACCGTCAGAGTCGCTGGCTTAGCGGCTTGAACATCCAGCTTAATTCCTTCTTGTAGACCACTCACAAAACATCCCACTTGTTGCTCAGCCTTTAGTCGTCCCGCTCGAATTAACAATCGCTCAAACTGCATTTGATAATCCTTCACCGTCCCCCTTTGATGTAACTTGGTTAAGTCTCCGAAAAAATCTTGATATTGAGTTGGACCATACCTTACATGAAGGCCCTCTTTGAAAGCTTCCTACGACACGATTTCTTGCTCCTCTTTCATCAATTGATACCATAACTGCGCATCGTCTTCCAAATTGAACAAGGCGAGGGGAACATGCTCCTCCTACGGTGTCTGATGGAAATAAAAAAATTGATCAGCCCTACAAACCCAACTCGTCAGGTCCTCTGATCCATTGAACTTGGGAAAATCCAGTTTCACCATTTTGGGAAGATAGGAACTGGATCTGGCTGTCGCTGATGTACTGGCAGAATTACCTCCGCCATTAGACTGCCCGCTTTTTCTTTGCATGCTGTTCGACGTCTCTTCCTGTTCCTAGCTAACGCGATCCAATATAGTATTCATAGCGGCAAACAGTTCCTGCATAGAGTCTATTATCACTCGAAACTTCTTTCCTTCTTCCTCCTACAAACTTCCCACTTCCGATTCAAGTCGCTCTAACCATTGCTCAGCCATGCCTGGCTTTGATACCAATCTGTTATGTGCGTGGCTGGATTGCCTTGTGCAAGGAAAGGATTGATCTCACGGGCTGAGCACGTTACCTTGGCACAACGAACGTAACTCACGATTGCCCTTGGATTGGTTTCTTTTCCCTATTTTTGCGGTGCTTCAGCAGAACAATAATGTAGAAAAGATTTGATAAGGTTTACTTCAAGGGAACCTACTTCCTTAATAAGGTTTACTTCGAGGGAACTATGTCCTTAATAAGCCAAAGCTTTATTGAATTTAAAAAACATGAAAACTCTAATGCAATCTACGGAACTTATTCATACCCAATTCTCCTTTTCCATGTTGAAATAAGAGTGAGGTAAATTACCTAGTTGACCCTAACTGAATTAAAAACAACCCAAGTAAAACTGGAAAAGTAACCTGGACAACAAGGCTCCGTTTGGTTCACAATTTTGTGTTTTTGGGAAAAGGTTTTTGAAAAAAGTTAAAAAAAAGTTGAATTGGGCAGGTATTACGATGTAGGATTTACAAATTAATAAGATATCTCCTATGTTTGTTTTTTTACAAAATACCCCTTATAATAAAACATTAAAAGTTAACAAAAACACCCCCAACCCACCATATCGGCGTATGACCGGCTGGATCTTGCCTGTCGTGCGCCGATAGGGCCTTTTCCGGCCAGATCCATAGTGGATCTGGCCGTTGATGGCTAGATCTGGCCATTGACGGTCAGATCTGGCCGTATTTGCTATTCAACGATGGCCAACAAATGGTCGTCGTTGATGGTCAACGACGACCGTTTGTTGGCCGTCATTACCGACTGGTTACGGCCAAAGATCTGGCCGTCAATGGCCAGATCTGGCCTTTTCCGACCAGATCCACCGTGGATTAGGCCGAAAAAGGCTAGATCGATGTACTACAGGCCAGATTCAGCAGGTAGTGCGCCATCCTACCAGATTCCGGCCATTTTTCGGCAGTGGTGGCCGGAATCTGGTAAATGTGGATTGTTGGGGTGTTTTTGCAAATTTTTAAAAAATATTTAGGGGTATTTAATTAAATTAACAAATTTAGGGGGTTTAAAAAAAGTTGAATAATATTGTGAGTTTTTTGGTATTTTACTATTTAACTTTTTTGGGAATACTAAAAGTAGTATTCCCAAAATGTAACCAAACGAAGCCCAAGTCTTTATTCCTAATGGCAACATCCAACAAAAAATCCTAATACTTGAAGAGTCCTAACACATGCTCAATTCTTGTAGTAAAAAGACAACTTAAAAAGGGTTGTCATTTGATTCAGAAATGCAAACCCCAACCTTCCTTCTACACCTACAGATTTTGTTCTAAAATTTTATCCAATCTCTATTAACAGAACATCTAGATAAAGCCATATCGCACTTAAACAAAGTTAAATATAACACATGTAATTCTTTAAAAACCGATGAGCAATATGAATAGAGTTGTACAGGCAAAACTGAAGCGAATGTCTTCTGCATCCTTCAAAAAAAAAAAAAAAAGAGCTTATATAGGATTAAATTTGGCTTTTAAACCGTTTTAACTTTAATTCAAAATGCATGTAATGAGTCTAACGACTATGGAGTAACTTGGATGGGCATTATGGACTTTTCAGTTTTGTTTGTTCCACTTTCCTGTTATAAAACATTATTCAAGGGAAGGCAGTTGAATTTATATGGACAGTGATTAAATGAATTCAAACCTCTAGATAATTGAGGCCCAATCCAAAAGCCACACTTGATTTGGGCAAATACGACTGCCCACAAGGAATAGGCTAAGATATGGCTTTAAAGTGGACTGGCCACAAAACAAATGGCTTTGAGAAGCCCTATGCTATGAAAATGAAAGTCACTTTCATTCAAAGGAAAACACTTAGCTTATATTATATATTAAAATGACTTTCGGCTTGAATTAAGAGATCGTGGGTTAGGAATTTCCAAAAGAAAAAATAAATTACAACTACAACTAGTACCCAGTACCCACTTCTCTAAAAAGCCCCTTCCTTATTCGACCTAAGATTCCATTTCTCCATTAGTAGTAATACCTCAATCTGAATGTTAACGTGCTTACTTCCAATTACATTACATGTC